TTTAATCTGGATAATTGTGAGATGCTGCACTTTGGGAGATCAAATGTTAAGGAAAAGTATACAGTTAATGGCAGAACTCCGAACAGTATTGATGTACAGAAGGATCTTGGGGTTCAAATCACAGCTCCCTGGAAGTGACCACGCAAGCAGATAGGATGGTAAAGAATGCGTTTGGCATGCTTGCCTTTATTGGTTGGGAATTGATTACAAGAGTCAGGATGTCATGTTGCAGCTTTATAAGACTTTGGTTCGGCCACACTTAGAGTACTGTTCAGTTGTGGTTGCCACATTACAGGAAAGATGAGGAGACTTTGGAGAGGGTGCAGAAGAGGTTTACCAGGATGCTGCCTGGATTAGAGGGTATGACCTATAAGGAGACGCTAGAAAAACTTGGGTTGTTTTCTCTTGAGCAGCGCAGGCTGAGGGGGGATTTGATAGAAGTCTATAAAATTATGAGATGCATTGATAGGGTTGATGGTCAGAATCTTTTTCCCAGAGCTGAAATGTCTAATACTGGGGAGCATGCATTTAAAGTTAGAGAGGGAAAGTTCAAAGGAGATGCGAGGGGCAAGTTTTTTTTACATAGAGAGTGGTAGGAGTCTGAAATGCACTGCCAGGGGTGGTGGTGGGGGGAGATACAACAGGGGAATTTAAGAGACTTTTAGATAAGCACATGAATATGCAAGGTATGGAGAGATCTGGACCAATGGCAGGCAGAAAGAATTAGTTTCATTTGGCATCATGTTCGGCACAACATGGTGGGCCGAAGGTCCCGTTCCTGTGCTGTACAGTTCTATGTTGTTTCATCCTTTTCCTTTGTGAATATGGAGACAAAAAAAATGCATTTAAAATTCTTTCCAAATCCTCTGCATCTTCACACAAGTTCCATTCATCTCTGATGGGTCCCACCTTTTCCTTAACTATCCTTTTGCTGTTTATAGGAGATAGCAAACTCCAAATGCTAGATCAGGACTGGTGAAGGGTGTAAACCTGAAACATCGACTTTCCTGCTCCTCTAACGTCGCCTTAACCTGTTGTGTTCCTCCATCTACACACTGCATTGAATTTTGCTGTTTATATCCTTTGAGGTTTTCCTTTATCTTACTTTTCCTTTATCTTCATGCCGTCTCTTTGATTTCCTCATTTCTTTTTTACTTGATCCTTGTACTTTCTATACTCCACTAGGCTATCTGCAGTGTTGATTTTTCTGTGACTATCAGAAGCTTTCATCTTCTGTTTAATCTTCTGTAAATTTCTAGACAACCGTGGAGGTCTAGATGTGGCAGTACCATTCTTATTTTTGGAGGGGACACGTCAGTTTTGTGTCCTAAGGATCTCACTATTTACTGCCTCCCAGTGGTTTACCACTGATCTATCCTTTCAAACCCCTGTGCAGTCCACCACAGCCAAATCACTTCTCAGTTTTCTAAAATTTGCCTCCTCCCCAGTTAAAACTTTTACTCCTGATTTATCTGTCAAAGAAATATTTTATTGTTAACTCAAACATTGATCTTAACCAGAATCTTATGAAAATTCAAGGTTTGTGTTTGAATCCTTAACAATTCACCTTGAAAGAGAATGTATAGCGAATATGTTGTTAATGTAAAAGGTGACATGCCCATATAATTCCCAAATAGTTGTGAAGTTGCTTAGCCAGCTGTAATTTTATAATTGTCCACTGGATGTCTCTGCAAACTAGAATTGCAAAGAATTTTAAATTCTTCATTCTGATAAGTCACACCTTTTCTTTAACTGTTCCTTTATCTTGCTTGCTAATATTTTTTCATGCCCTTTCTTTGATTTCCTTATTCAAGTCTTGGTGATTTTTTTTTGTCCCTCTATTATTGAAGGTGGGTGTGATCTGCCTACTTGAAAATGAGTGACTTCTGAGAGCAGTTAGAGTCAATCCCATTAGTGATTAATTAGAATAAAATAGTGCAGATGCTGGGAATCTAAAACAAAAACACAAAATGCTGGAGAAACTCAACAAGTCTGGCAGCATCTAAGGTGAGAGAGATTGATTGGTGGTTTGGTGGTTAGCACCGCTGCCTCACAATGCCAGGGACCCAGGTTCAATTCCACCCGTGGCTGTGTGGAGTTTACACATTCTCCCTGTGTCTGTGTGGGTTTCCTCCTACAGTCCAAAGATGTGCAGGCTAGGTGGATTGGTCGTAGTGTTCAGGGATGTGTAGATCAGGTGGGTTCTAGAACGTAGAACAGTACAGGCCCTTCAGCCCACGACGTTGTGCCAAACTTTTACCCTAATCCTAAGGTCTATCTAACCTCCACCCCTACCTTACGCTATCATCCATATGCCTATCTAATAGCTGCTTAAATGCCCCTAATGAGACTGACTCCACTACCCTCTCCGGCAATGCATTCCACGCCCCGACCATTCTCTGAGTAAAGAACCTACCTCTGACATCTCCCCTATATCTACCTCCACTCACTTTAAAACTATGACCCCTCATAATAGCTACCTCCACCCTAGGAAAAAGTCTCTAGCTGTCTACTCTATCTATACCTCTGATCATTTTGTACACCTCTATCAAGTCACCTCTCATCCTTCATCGTTCTAAAGAGAAAAGCCCTAGCTCTCTCAACCTTTCCTCGTAAGACCTTCCCTCCATTCCAGGCAACATCCTGGTAAATCTCCTCTGCACCTTTTCCAACGCTTCCACATCTTTCCTATAATGAGGCGACCAGAACTGGACACAATACTCCAGATGTGACTGAACCAGGCTTTTGTATAGCTGGAGCATATCTTCATGGCTCTTGAACTCAATCCCTCTATTAATGAAAGCTAACACACCGTACGCCTTCTTAACAACTCTATCCACCTGGGTGGCAGCTTTCAGGGAACTGTAGACATGAACCCCAAGATCCCTCTGCTCCTCCACACTGCCAAGAATCTTTCCATTAACCCTGTATTCTGCTTTCAAGTTTGTCCTTCCAAAATGAATCACCCCACACTTTTCAGGGTTAAACTCCATCTGCCACTTCTCAGCCCAGCTCTGCATCCTATCAATGTCCCTTTGTAACCTAGAACAGCCCTCCGCACTATCCACAACTCAACCCACCTTCGTATCATCGCGAACTTACTAATCCACCTTTCCACTCCTACATCCAAATCATTTACAAAAGTCACAAATAGAAGAGGACCCAGAACAGATCCTTGTGGTACACCACTCGTAACTGAACACTATGTTGAATATTTTCCGTCCAGTACCACCCTTTGTCTTCTTAGGGTCAGCCAATTCTGAATCCAATCTGCCACATTTCCCTCTATCCCATGCCTCCTTTCTTTCTGCATGAGCCCACTATGGGAAACCTTATCAAACGCCTTACTTAAATCCATGTATACCACATCCACTGCTCTACCTTCATCCACATGTTTGGTCACCTCTTCAAAGAATTCAGTAAGGTTTGTGAGGCATGATCTACCCCTCACAAATCCATGCTGACTATCACGAATCAAACTGTGCCTTTCCAAATGATCATAAATCCTATCTCTCAGAGACCTTTCCAATAATTTGCCCATTACTGAAGTAAGACTAACTGGCCTGTAATTTCTGGGGTTATCCCTATTCCCTTTTTTGAACAAGGGAATGACGTTTGCCACTCTCCAATCTTCCGGCACTATACCCGTAGACAGTGAGGACGAAAAGATCATTGCCAAAGGCCCTGCGATCTCTTCCCACGCTTCCCATAGAATCCGTGGATAAATCCCATTAGGCCCGGGGGACTTATCTATCTTCAAGTTCCTCAAAATTCCTTGTACATCTTCCTTACTAACATCCACCTCCTTTAGCCTACCAGCCTGTTTCACACTGTCCTCCTCTACAACTAGGTCCCTCTCAGTTGTGAATACTGAAGAAAAGTATTCATTAAGGACCTCTCCTATCTCTTTAGGCTCCATGCAAAATTCCCTTTGCAATCCTTGATCGGCCCACCCTTTCTCTGGTCATTGTCATTATAGGGGGGTGGGTCTGGGCGGGATGCTCTGAGGGTTGGTGTGGACTTGTTGGGCCGAAGGGCCTGTTCCCACACTGTATGGGTTCTATGATCTATGATTGTCACTTGTACCAAAGTACAGTAAAAGCTTTGTTTACGAGCAGTACAGGCAGATCACAGTAAGCAAAGATGTACAGATCAAACATTGTAAAAAAACTTAGAGAAAGGCATACAGGTTACATTGCACATGGTGTGGGCTAGGCGAGATCAACGTTATATGAGGCTAGCGAGTCCATTCATCGGTCCCACAACAGCAGGGAAGAAGCTGTTCTTGAACCTGTTGGTGTGTGTGTGTTCAGGCTTCTGTATCTTCTACTTGATGGAAGAGATTGTAGGAGATCATTACTAGGATGTGATGGATCTTTGATGATGTTGGCAGCCATTCCGCAGCATTGAGCTGTGAAAAAAGGAGTCAATGGATGGAAGGTTGGCTTCCGTGATGATCTGGGCTGTGCACACAACCCTCTGTTGTTTCTAACAGTCCTGAGCAGAGCAGTTGCCATACCAGGCCGTTTTGAGTCTGGTATGACTTCTTCAGAGTTGTTAAACCTTCTGCTAGCCACATCCCTCTCCTGATCTCTCGCTGAGCGTGAGACCGTGGGTGAAGAGCAACGAGGCATGAACAGCTTTGAAATTCATTTAGGAAAACCACAGATTGTAAAAGCCCCTGCTCTTCTGAGATATTGAGACTTGCATTTCCATGACATCACACCTCCCACTTCCGAGTAAACCTTGAGCTTGAATGGGAACCAAACTTTGGAGAGGGAAACAGGGAATGGGGCTCAGGGAATGAGAATGCAGAAGTGTGTGGGGTGGGGAACACTAGGTGGGTCCCGCAGGAAGTAATATTAAAATTAATCTTGTGACACTGAACAAGTTTACAGGTTCTATTGATTAACATTCTTAGAATGTTAAATTGGGCAATTTTAAATAAGGATGTATTAGCTCTGTCAGGGAATCTCATTTCACTTTGTTGGAGTCTTAGATCACTTCTTTTGCCAGCCATATTTATTTAGTCCTCACCCATTCTGTGTACTTATTAAACAACTCCATACTGTAAACACCGTTAGTTCATAGGCTGCAGAAAACATCATCAATGGGAAGCAAAATTGTTTTGCAGGCAGTCTAGTCATTTTAACAGACAATCTTCTAGATTAAAGTGTCTCATTGTATTTCACTTTGTAACGAGCTCAAGTTCTTACATTTAATTTACACTCCCTGTTTAATGCTAGTGCAAAGTACCTTCAACTTTGCAGCACACAAATTCCAGAATACAAATGGGGCACAAAAGATCAATGTCTAATTCCGCTGTTCTCTCAAGTATCTTTGAAGCAGGTGTCATTGCCTGAAAGACAAAATGTCAATACTGAGGTTACAGGCTAGGTACTTAGGTGAGACAAAGGAATTGTATTTATACAGTCTTTCACAAGCTCAGTATATTCTGTAAACTGAAAGAATTCCAGATGCTGGAAATCAGAAACAATAGGAAATTGCTGGAAAAGCTCAGCAGGTCTGGCAGCATCTGTGGAGAGAAATCAGAGTTAACGTTTCTGGTCCAGTGACCCTTCCTCAGGACCTGAGGAATGGTTTATTCTGAAGGAGGGTTGCTGGACCCGAACCATTAACTTTGATTTCTATCCATAGATGCTGCCAGACCTGCTGAGCTTTCCCAGAAATTTGTTTTTATTTTTGTGTCAGGATATTCTGAAGTATTTTACAGCCAATGAAGTACACTTTGGTGTGTAGTTTCTGTTATAGTGGCAGAAATACAGAGCAAATTTAATGCTTGTGCAAAGTACCTTCAACTTTGCAACACACAAATTCCAGAATGCAAATAGGCCACAAAAGATGGGGAGGCAATGGCCTAGTGGTATTATCACTGGACTTTAATGCACGAAACCCAGACAATGTTCTGGGGACCCAGATTCAAATCCTGCCATAGCAGATGGTGGAATTTGAATTCAATAAATATCTGGAATTAAGAGTCTAATGATGAACGTGAATCCATTGTTGATTGTTGGGGAAAACCCCACCTAGCTCACTAATGACCTTCAGGGAAGGAAACTGCCATCCTTACCTGGTCTGGTCTACATGTAACTCCAGACCCACAGCAATGTGGTTGGCTATTAACTGCCCTCTGGGCAATTAGGGATGGGCAATAAATGCTGCCTGGCCAGTGATGTCCTCATCCTGTGAATGAATAATAAAAAAAAATTATATACAGCAAGCTCTTACAATGAGCAAGGTGATAATGATCACATAACAATTTGTGATGTTGGTTCAGGATTAAAAATTGGCTGGACACCAGGATTAATTTCCCACCCATCTTTGAAATAATGTGATGGAATCCTGTAAATCCACCCGAGGGAAGAGGGCCTCAGTTTAAAGTTTCACCCCAAGTCACCTCTAGTCTCCAACATGATGGTGAATGTGCATGTTAGGAGCAAGAGCAGGAGATCTTGACGTGGTTCCACCATTCAGTCAGATTGTGCTTGATCTGTTTGTGGTCTCAACTCCACTTCTGTTTTTTAAAAAATTGTCCATTCTGGGATGTGTCAGCATTTATTGTCCTTCCCTAATTGCCCCTCGAGATGATGAAGGTGAACCTCCTTTTAAACTGTTACATTCCGTGCACTGTAGGTTGACCCACAAATGCTGTTGGGGTGGAATTCCAGGATTTTGACCAAGTGCCAATGAGGGAACAGCGATATATCTATAAGTCAGGATGGTGAGTAGCTTGGAGAGGAACTTGGAAGTGGTGGTGTTCCCATGTATCTACTGCCATTGTCCCTTGAGATGGAAGTGGTAATGGGTCTGGAAGATGCTGTCTAAGAACGTTTGATGAATTTCTGCAGTGCATCTTGTAGATAGTACACACTGCTGCTACTGAACATCAGTGGTGGAGGGAGTGAATGCTTGTAGATGTGGTGCTAATTAAAAGGGCTGCTTGGTCCTGGAGTCTTGTTGGAGCAGCACCCATCCAGGCAAGTGGAGAATACAAGCAAAATTAAAGTTGGAGAGGTAGGGAAGGGGGTGGTTTTGTGGTAAAGTCACTGGATTAGTAATCCATAAACCCCAGGCTAATGTTGTGGGAACATGGACTCAAATCCCACAGCAGATGGTGAAATTTGAATTCAATTTTAAAAAATCTGGAATTATAAAATAGCTGACTTAAAAACAAACATGTATCCTTGTTAATTGCTGTAAACACCAATTTGCTCCAGTGATGTCCTTTAGGGAAACAAATCTGCTATTCCTTCCTGGTCTGGCCTACATGTAACTCCAGAAACACTGTAGTGTTGATTGACTCTTAACTGCTCTCTGTGCCAATTAGACCCCAATCCCATGAATTAATTAAAAATAAGTTCTAGTACCCTCTTCATTTGTGCCTGGTCGATGGTGGACAGGCTTTGGGAAGTCAGGAAGTGAGTTACTTATTGCAGGAGTCGGCACCTCTGATTTGCTCTTATAGCCACTGTATTTATGTGGCAAGTCTAGAACAGTTTGTGGTCAATGGTAATCCCCAGGATGCTGATAGTGGGGTTTCATTGCATGCCAAACCGCGACACTTAGACTTTCTCTTGTTGGAGATGGTCAATGCCTGGCACGTGTTAAGCCCAGGATATCATTCAGGTCTTGTTCCACTTGTATATGGACTGCTTCAGAGTCTGAGGAATAACTACAGGCTATCCTGAAGTGGGAGAATGTTGAGACAAAAGTTGTAGTACATGTTGGTCCCAACGATATAGGTAAAATGAGGGATGAGGTCTTGCATCAAGAATTTGAGCTAGTCAGTAAATTAAAGAGCAAGACCTCACAGCATTAGTCCCAGTCCCATGTGCTAGCAAGTATAGAAATAGGAGAATAGGGCAGATGAATGCGTGGCTCATGAGTTGGTGCTGGGGTGGGGTGGGGTTTAGATTCCTGAATCTCTGGGATTCTTTGTGGGGAAGGTGGGAAATATAAAAATGGGACAGTCTACATCTGAACCAGAATGTGACAAACATCCTAGTGGGAGGGTTTGTTAGAGATTTTGGGAGGAGTTTAAACTAGTTCCACAGGGGCAAGGGTCATGGAGCGTGAGTAAATAGAGACACAGCAATAATATAGTAAAGAAACCAGGTCAGATGGAGTTCAGACATGTTGAGCTTCAAGGCAATAAGGTGAGGCATGAATGAGCTCTACTTTGATGCTAGGAGTATTAGAGATAAGTTAGAATATTAGGTGAGTTAAGGGTGTAAATTGACACGTGGAATTGAAATGTTGTTGTTTAAGGGAGGGGCAGGACAGGCAACTCAACATTCCAGGGGATAGGATCTTCAGGTAGGATACGGGATGGTGTAAAACAGGAGCTGGTGCTGCATTATTAATTAAGGAGTCAGTAACTGCAGTAAGGAGGGACAACAATTTGGAAGGAATAAAAAGGAGTCAGAATCAATGCTAGGAGGGTAGGTAGACTCCAAACAGCTAGCAGGCAATGGAGGAGCATATATATAGAAAATTCACTGAGGTGCGTAAAAATAATAATCGGGTAATTATATTAGGAGATTTCAATTTTCCCAATATTAATTGGGATAATCATAGTCCACAGGATTCAGAGGGGGCAGAATTCCTGAAATGTATGCAGGAGAACATTTTATATTAACATGCAGACGGTTCTACGAGAGACAGTGCAGTGCCAGACCTAATTCTGGGGAATAAAGCCGGACAGGTGCTTAAGATGGCAGTGGGATGATATTTTAGTGACAGTGAACATAACATTGTATGTTTTAATTTTGTTATAGAAAAGGAAAAAGAGTCTGCAAAAACGGTCTTGGATTTGGGGAAGGAAACTTTATTAAAATAAGGCAGGATCTGGCCAAAGTAGACTGTAAAAAGCTCCTTGAGGGTAAATCTACAACAGAACATGGAGGGGGAGGGATAATGCTCAAAAAGGAAATGGGAAAAGTTGTAGGGGCAACAAGGCCACAAAACCTTGGATGTCTATGAATATTCAAGATTGGATAAGAAGGAGAAGAGAGTCTATTTACAAGTACAAAGGGAGCAAATCAATGGAGGCCCTAATGGAGTACAGAAAATCAAAGGGGCATCTTAAGAAAGCAAAGAGGATACATGAGACAACACTGGTGGGTAAAATTAGGGAGAATCGCAAGATACTCTGTAAGTGCATCAAGGATATCAAGGAAGAGGATATTCAAGGAAAAAGTTGAGCCCATTAGAGACAAAGAGGGCAATCATTAACTCAGCCCTCCATCAGTTCATCAATATCTCCAAAAGCCATCACCGCTCATTAAACTTAAAACCACAACATATAACACAGGCATTGATTTCCTAGACACTACAATTTTAAACAGGAACAGGACAATATGCTCATGTTAGCAGCAAATAACGACAATAAAATAACTCACACACATTCCAACCTCAACCTGTGGACTGGCGAGATCATAGCTAAACGATTACATGTTTGTGTCTAACACAGTAATCGCACCTCAATTAATTAAATACATGTTAGATGTTTTGAGATGTGATAACACATAAATCTAAATCTTTATGAAATAAAATTGTTCAATTTAAATTACACAATGGGCACACTGTTTACTGCCCTTGTATCTATCACATGTTCCCAATGTTGTAGCCCTTGAACTCCTACAGTTTTAGAATAGAATCCCTACACTGTGGAAGGATGGAATTGAACCCAGGTCCCTAGTACTCTGAAGCAGCAGTGCTAACCACTGAGCCATTCTAGAGGTTTCAAATTAATTTGCAATGAATCCAAATTTCAGTTTTCCTTTTCCAGCTTTGGTAAGTATTTCTTTACTGGAAGGTTTAAACATGTTTCTGTTTCACACCCTTTCTCCCCATCCAGCCTCTCTTTCCCATTACTGGTCCTTCTACCCCTTTGCAGCTTCTCTCTCTCTCTCTCCACTTTGAATCCATATTTCATCTCCAGACCCCACGTCCCTGGACTCTCTGCCCAGCCTTGGTCCCAGTCCAAACCCTGGCCTCGCTCCTGCCTCTGTTTCCTCCTACTGCTACTACCCCACTTCCCTAAGTACAGACTGTTTCTCTCCAGCATTTGTTACTGATAGGCTCGCTTTGACCTATCAGCAACTTGCATGGGACAGACCGGTGTGTGATTGGAGGAGTGACTCCTCACCAGTTCCTTCCATTCTATCTATTGGGGTGCCTTTTCTCAGAGTTTTTGTCTCCATGAGTATATGCTCCAGGGAGATTTGGGGATTATGAATGCGGATTTGACCACTGCTCCTTTGTATCGAGTGTTGCGTCAACTCTATGTAACTCATAGTCCCACGCACAGTAGAAAGCTGTTTAACGCATCACAGA